ACTTAGATACCAGTAATCCGAACAATCAATGTTGCAATGCAGCCCTGAACATGCATCATCATCATCGTTACATGGTGTGAATGGGGCTTGGCCCTTCACACAGGATGATTGCGCCAGCCCATACCATACACAGACGAAGAGGAAGGGGATAGACGAAGAGGAGGGGGAAGATGGGAATGTCATCAACACCAAGTCTTCGGCACAAGCCCAAATAGTCCCTCGTCGAAATGTCTGAATCCCAAATGTCAAGTCTAGATCCAATGTCGTCAAGTCTCCAGTCACAACTCTGTCTCTCTCTGTCGTAGTCTTAGAAGTCAGGTGGCGAGAGGGTGAGAAGAGAAGGTGGACTTAGAAGAGGAAGAAGAAGAACTCTCTCTCTCTGTGTTCAATACTAACCTGTGAAGTTGGCGCCTTGATGCAGGTACCACGAAGATGGAGCTGGAGCGATGGCGCCACAGGTGAGTACCACTGGCCTCCGCCAGTCTCTCTCCCACTCTACGATCTACCACCTACCAACGCCCAGCGCTGAAGACTACTCTATGGCTATGGCGCCCAGCGCCGAAGACTACAGTTAGCGCTACTATTACTTAGCGCTGGAGACTACTGCAGTGCTCCTCCTGAGTGCTGCGGCCGAATCCTGAAGACTACCAGTGCCTACTGAAACTCCTACCCGTGAAGTGCCTAGGACAGTCCTATGTACTTCTCGGGTGTGCCTCTTGACTCGTGCGAGCAGTCCAGGAGGCTGCTCTTGCCAATGCCGAAGGCAGGCAGGGGCTGCAGCTGCAGCTCCTGCTCGAGCACGTGAGGAACAGGCTATTCTTGGCTGTTTCGCGTCCCTGTTTACGTGCCTGAGTCTTTCGGGTCGAAATAATGAGGGCCTGAAAATGGCCCTCCGTTTTAGGCTGAAAACTCTGGGTCTGAAAAGACCCAGAAATAGGCTGAAACGGGGTAGGGCCTGCATTCCCTCGTTTTTCAGCTTTTAGGCTGAAACGACCGGGGCCTATAAGCCCTAAGTCTTAGGCTTTTAGGCTGAATGTCCGGGACGGGCCCTGCAGGGCCCGTGTGGCTACGCAGTATGCCACACCCCCCCCTCCTTGAAGAACCGAGCTTACCTGCGAGGGCGAAGCTCTCTGTCTGAGGGAGGAACCACAGTCCGGGTGGGAGGGGCTGGTCGTGAAGCTTCCTGAGCTAACCTCCGCTTTTCATAATGTGCGTAGATCAGTGGTGCGGATGCTTTCAAATTTGCGCCTGAAATCCACCGAGTGTCGTCGCGATCGCATGCTTTGAATGTGACTTTGTACTGCCGTACTTGCGATCGGAGATGACGCGGTCAACTTCCTGATGGCCATCCATAGAAGGAGGGTCCTGCGATCGTCGGTCCGGAAAGTCGTCGCTCTTGGCTGGCGTGTATGTTGCCAGCTTCGAGGCGTGGAAGACCGGATGGACCGTCAGATGCTCTGGAATGTTGATCACAAATGAAGGGTCATCGGGCTCATCGCCCGCGGCTGCTGTCACAGACCAAGGTCCAAACCACTTGGGAAGCAGTTTGCATGAAACATCCTGTTCCAGTGCAAACTCTTCCGCGGAGACCCAAACCAGATCACCGGCGCGGATGGGACATGGTACGAGACGCCTGTTGGCTTGCTGCTGCATGCAGACTTGAGCCTTTTGCATATTTGCGCGGGCTTGAGTCAATAATTCCCTGTACTTCCGGACGGAAGCGGGAGAGCAGGCATCGTCAATGTCGGCTGGTCGAGGGAGGAGAAGGTCGGCGAAGATCCGGCCTTTCCGTCCACCGTGGTGCAACTCGGATGGAGTCACGCCGATCGCCGGGTGCACCGAAGTGTTGTAGGCGAACTCGATGTCAGGGAGGCGGTCAACCCAATCTTTCTGGTCCGGACGGATGAGTGTACGAAGCATCATTTGAGTGGTTTGATGTGCCCGCTCCGTCTGCCCGTCTGTCTGAGGATGCCGAACCGAACTTGGTTTCATTGTTGTGTCGGACTTCTGCATGAGAGCAGTCCAGAACGTCGACATGAAACGAGTGTCGCGGTCGCTGACAATGTCTTCTGGTACACCGTGGCCACAAATCCAACCAGTGTGCAGGAGGCGTGCTAGCTCGGGAGCCGTGGAGTAGTACTTGCAAGGGAGAAAACGCGCGTACTTACTCAATCGGTCCACAACCGTGAGGATGCCGTCGTGCCCGAGCCGGTCGCGAGGAAACGGACCGGTGACGTCCATGGCAATGGAGAGACCGGGTTCCCGTGGGATAGGCATCGGGTGTAACTTGCCGTAGGGATTGCGGTTGCGGGGCTTGTTGCGTCAGCAAACTTCGCAAGAGTCGCAATACCGAGTGACATCGGTAATGAGGTCAGGCCATCGGAATCGTTGTCGAAGCCGTACAATAGTGCGGTTGACTCCGAAATGGCCGGCGAGTCGTGAATCATGATAATCGCCGAGGAGGCGAGTCCAAAGACGACGGTCGTGTGGGACACATAGTAAGTCCTTGCCTCTCGAGTGGAGGAGCAAGTACCCATCGGCAATGCGGAAATGGCTGGCCGGCGGGTGATCCGAAGATAGCTGTGCATAGAGCGTGCCGAAGTCTGGATCATACTAATATGCCCAGATGAAGTGTTTCTTTCCTCGTCGAATGAGAAGGCATGATGTGTCATAGCGCAAAGATCAGGTCTTCGCGAGAGTGCATCTGCTGTGCGATTGGAGAGGCCGGGGACATGTTTCGGTGTGAAGTCAAATTGCTCGATGAAGTACATCCATCGTCCGATCGTGCTGCTCACCGTGTCCTGCGTCTTGTAGTAGGTCAATGGATTGTTGTCTGTGACCCATGTGAACCTACGACGCCCAAGGAGGAAGTGCCGCCAGCGCTTGAGAGCCATCACGAATGCGAGCAGCTCCTTCTTCCTTGCATCATCAAGCGAGTTGATGGGAGGCACTTTGTGGCTGAAATACTCCACAGGGTGCCAGTCGTCGCCATCGTGTTGTTCCAAGACTGCCCCAATGCCATAGCCGGAAGCGTAGATGCTAAGGACGGGTGCCATGAGCATAGCCGTCTTAAGTGTTTGGAATGACCGGCGTGCGTCGTCATCGAATACGAATGACACCTTTGGCGACTGTAACCTCGTCATAGGTGCAACAATCCTGGAGTATCCGGTGATGAATCGCTGATAGTAGCCCGCCAACCCCATGAATAAACGAACGTCCGTGGTGTTGGTGGGCTCGGGCCATACTCGTAGGGCCTCGATCTTGTCCGCAAGCGGACGGATGCCTTGCGGCGTCACATAGTGTCCTAAGTACTCCAGCTCCTGCTGTGCGAACTCGCACTTGTTGCGGTTTGCTTTGTACTTGGCTTCTCGTAGCCGCTCCAAAACGGTGCGCAGGTGTTCCACATGCTCGTCCAAACTTCGACTATACACCAAGATGTCGTCGAGGTAGATCAGTACAAACCGATCCAGCATGTGTCGGAACTCCGTTGTCATAGCCGCTTGGAAAGTGGCTGGGGCATTCGTAAGGCCAAACGGCATGACCAGCCATTCGAAATGCCCATACCGTGTCTTGAACGCGGTCTTGTAGTGATCCTCCTTGCGAATCTCGAGTTGGTGGTACCCTGACTTGAGGTCCAGCTTAGAGAAGAACTGGGCGCCGCCCAATCGCTCGAGAAGGTCGTCGATGCGTGGGAGAGGGCCGACGTTCCTGATCGTCTGCGCGTTGAGCTTGCGATAATCGATGCACAACCGCAGGTCCTTGTTCTTCTTCCGGACGAAGAGAACAGGAGCACCGTATGGCGATGAGCTAGGCCGAATCCAACCTTTCTCCAGGAGGTCGTCGAGTTGTGCCCGAAGCACACTTAACTCTTCCTCGCTCATTCGGTAGATGCAACCACGCGGAGGTACAGCCCCGTCCTCGAGGATGAT